AGGGCCAAATCCAGGACCAGGGGTGAAAGGCCAATGTTAAAGAGCGCATCAAAAAAGTACTGTGTGATTTAACGCCCGATTAATGCAACTCTTGAGCATTCATTCAGTTCTCACGGTCATTTTTACATCGTTTCTTCTTTCTTTTCTTTTTATTATTATTATTATTTAGACCACAAAAATCTTGTATCCACTTCATTAACTTTTGGACACATTTTGCAAGCGCTTATAAATAACTCGCAATGGTACGGCAACCGCACAGAACGAATCATTCAACTGTTGTCAGCACATTTTAGCGCTCTTTTCATTTGCATTTTAGTAATATCCAAGCAAGCATCGCTATATCTCTATATCGCACATACTCACTGATATTGATTTTACATTATTGTGTAGCTCCGCTCCAAATACTTTCTCCAGTCTGCCAGCCGTCTGGTCATTTCCTCGCGAACTGCCCTTATCCGGCCCAGGCCAACCCCTATCACTCCACACAATAGATCGTTCACTTTGAGCAGCAAAATGATGGCGGCACAATTTACTGTGAATATCCAGATCAAGTCACTGGACGAGCTGGCTAAGATCAATGACAAGTCGCTGATTCAGTCGCAGGCGTACGTCGACGGGAGATGGGTCAGTGCGTCTTCAGGAAAGACCTTTGACGTGACTGACCCCGGGACAATGCAAAAGATTGGCAGCGTGGCCGACATGGACGCCGATGATGTCAGACGGGCCATTGACGCTGCGAGCCGTGCCTTTGAGAGCTGGAAGAATACCACTGCAAAGGAGCGCTCTCTTATCCTGCGCAGGTGGTTTGATCTGATTATCTCAAATAAAGATGATCTGGCTAGGTTGATGACGCTGGAGGGCGGCAAGCCATTGGCCGAAGCGTCGGGCGAAGTGGTGTACGGTGCGTCGTTTATTGAATGGTTTGGCGAAGAGGCCAAGCGCGCCTACGGTGATGTAGTGCCGTCGCCGCTCAGCAGCACGCGCATGGTGGTGATGAAACAGCCTGTGGGCGTCGTCGGCATTATCACGCCATACAACTTTCCCAACGCGATGATCACGCGCAAGGTCGGCGCTGCGCTGGCCGCCGGCTGCACCGTAGTGGTGAGACCGGCCCACGAAACGCCGTATTCAGCCCTGGCGCTGTGCGAGCTGGCTGAGCGCGCCGGCGTTCCACGCGGTGTTTTCAACGTTGTGCCGTGCTCGGCCGAAAACACGCCCGATGTCGGCAAGGAGCTGACCACCAATGAAGCCATCCGCAAGGTGTCGTTTACTGGCTCCACGGCCGTTGGCAAGATGCTCACTGCGCAGGCCGCCGGCACCATGAAGAGAGTGTCGATGGAGCTTGGCGGCAACGCGCCCTTTATTGTCTTTGCCGACGCCGATCTGGACGTCGCCGCCGAGCAGCTTGTCGCGTGCAAGTTCCGCAACTCGGGCCAAACATGCGTATGTGCCAACCGCATTTATGTCCACGAGTCTGTCTACGACGACTTTGTCAGCCGGCTTGCTGTCCTGGTTGAGAAACGCTTGCGCATTGGCCATGGGGTGTCAGAGGGCGTCAATTTTGGCCCACTAATTACCGAACGCGGCCTGCAAAAGATTGAAGATCAGCTGAAGCGTGCTGTGGATGCGGGTGCTCGCGTGTTCCTTGGCGGAAAGCGCCCGGATATTTCAGCAGCTGGGTACTTTTTTGAGCCCACGATCCTTGTGGATGTGACCGATGAGGTGCCAATGTCGTGCGAGGAGACGTTTGGCCCGCTGTGTCCAGTATTTAAGTTTAGCTCCGAGGAAGAGGTCATTCGTCGTGCGAACAGCGTGCCGGTTGGGCTGGCCGGGTATTTTTTTAGTCGCGACATTGGACGTGTGTTCCGCGTGGCAGAGGCCCTGGAGGTGGGCATGGTCGGCGCCAACACGGGAATAATCAGCACCGAGGTCGCTCCGTTTGGAGGTGTCAAGGAAAGTGGTTTTGGCCGCGAGGGATCACGCTACGGAATTGACGAGTACATGAATATCAAGTACATCAACATTTCTTTGTAAATGTAGGGTTTTTTAAATTATTGTTTTTATAATGGTCAGCAATACTTGCTCTTTTTTATTTCCCACCTCCAACCGAATCAATTATTCTATGCTCATAATAAAATGGATGGCAAAAAAATGAAACCCAACGTGGCTTTGTCTTTATTAAGCACGTATTGAAAAGTGGTCAATGTGCCAAAAGCAAGTTAGATGCAACGCTACGGTTCATTATTGAAGATTTTATTAAAATTGAACTCCTTTTATTAGCAGTACTAAACCGTATTTTGCTACAAAAATCTTTGCGCGTATTCGTTGTCATTAAGGGGCTCAATGGAAACCATCTAATGTTTGTCAATTTGGAGTTCATGCCCTTGTAAAGGCTGTCGTTAATTGGATAGAATATACCACCGTCCGTGTTCCTTGAGCTGCCTGTCAGCGGCAGAATTCTGTTGTTATTTGAAGTAGGCATCGTAAGAGCAATGTTGTACTCTTTCTGCAGGCCATCGGTGCGCAGCTTTTCTATCTAACTAGTGAGGTAATTTTCTCAGTTAAACATATAATTCTAGATGGGCACGCCCATGATTAGCCACCACATCACATTCTCCCAAATATGGCTAAGTAGAGTGAATATTATACGCAGATAAACATCCATGGGATAGTGCGGGCGCACGTAGTTTAGGCCTATCCCATACATGAGGTTGACGAGATAAAGCAGGAGATCATCATTTCGCGACTCTCGTTGAACGAGCTCTTTATGTTGCGGATCTTACAGTGTAGGAACAAGACTAAAAAAGTACGCTTGCGCACACAAGTATATACAGAGCGTTCTGAAACATTGGCTAAAATTTGCAAAGGTCGATGACTCGATTAAATATCGCTGTTTTTGCATGGATCAGAACCTGTGCAATGGTTCCAAAAACAAGTACGCACACCCAATAAATTCCAAACGGCAGATAAAGCCCGATGTTGTGGTACGGACTGTGCAGATAAAAAACACGGTACAATCCATACGCCCTCCATCCAATCAGCGACAGTATGCCATACATACTAAGGAGCCACATCCGGATTCCAAACGTCCTGCAGTGAACCATCCCCGTGTTTACCAAAGGTATGTGCCTGTTAGCCTGGAGGTCTCCGACAAACTGAAATATGGATAATAGTACAAACAGTGCCATGATCGTTACGTTTTTAAACTTGATTGGGGCATAGTTTCTGTTCCACAAGATGTACGCGACAGATAGCACATCAAAAGAGTATAATACTATAATGACAATGATCATGACCGCATCTTCTTTGCCTTCCGGATCAAACGATAAACCCAACTCCTTGGGGTTCCTTTGGTGCCGTAGCTCTTTCTCTGTCACTGCAAACAGCAAGCGGTTGCTTATTAGAAAATATGATATAAACACATTGTGGTGCCCAACACACATTCCAAGCCACTATCTTCCCTTTTCAAGAACCAAGATCACCCTCATGGCCGCTATACACATCTCTGTTATTGCTGGCTGACATCAAGGAACACCATGATGTTTACAGCACTTCTCACATGGTGCTTCCCCCTTTTTCAGTTCCTTAAGTAATTTTTGATACTTGAATATATAAATTTAGACCCAGATTTTTATAGAGCACAACACATATTGCGTATTATAGTTAATGTCAAATATACAAATAGTTATAAAATACTAAAAAGATGAGATATATATATATTAACCCAGAAAATAACATCTGTATTTCCCTCCTTCATATTGTATTTGTGTTTGTGTGTTTGCAATGACAATGGTAATGACAAATCAAACAGATTTTATTGTTGTTGAGAACCCCTCAGGGGAGGCCGCAACCAAGGCCAGCGGCCCGGGCTGAGACCCCTTTGTGCCCATAGATGTATCGGACAGATGTAGGACATCATCTGATGTCCTGATCCAATCATACTGATTGTGAAGGCACCCGGTATTCATGATTGAGACTGTTTTTCCAAATCCTGATGACCGTAGAAATTGATGCAATTTCGAGGTGCATCAAAATAGCATTTGTTTTGCTATTGTTATTTGTTTTGATATTTGTTTACATATGTGCGGCATAGGCAATGCTGCGCACTTATCATAGTTTTTATTCGATATATACTAAATATTTTATTTCTATTTAGCAGTATTCCCTGTGGGTGTCTAGTTCATAATAACTGGCCTTTCCCTTGGCTACTCTCAAAATATTATCTTCTTTGTCGAGCCTCGTATAATTTTTTTATAACCTGGTTATATATTTCCAAATTACACATACATACATGCAACTGTAATGTATTCGGATACCTGGCCAAAAAATGGCAAGCATTGAGTGGAAATGTCAAAATATATCCAAAAGCGATCTACAAATCTTACAAATAGTGTACCTACATACATGTGTTATGTAAGAGAGGGGTGTGAAGAGCACTAGTTGTCTAGTGTTAGAAAAATAGGGGTAAATTTATAGAGGGTTTTATTACTGATGTTTCTAAAACACTACTAGGGCCGGCCTCATCTTATATATGTGCCTCGCCGCCTTTGTTGTGCACATTGCAAATTGTGCGCTCCGCTGGTAAGAACTGGATCTTCTGCGAGCAGACCGGTATCTTGGCAAGTCAATATTGTGGTTTTCGTGCGTGTACGCTCATGCGTGTGCATTGCAAAATGGGGAGCATGTTTGGGCATCAATGTAATGCCTCCCTAATTTAGGCCTGCGTTATCCAATTAGCGTCCTATCGATCAGCGCGCAGGTGGAAACCTGTTTTGCGATTCTCAACCTCAACATCCACTTCCATATATTCGGGCTGCGCAACACGTGTAAAATTTCGAATAAGGATGTGCGCTTATTTAACGATGATTGTTATTGTTACATTTTAAAAATGATAAAAATTAAAATATTTATCATTTGATGTGAGAAGTAGATAATAACATAAATTTTAAATTTTAAAAATTAAAAGCAGGGCTATAGATGGAGGTAGCAATGTATAAAAATTAAAATATGGCGTGTGACACATGCATGCGACAGTTTATCAGTGGATCCTTTGGGCCGCAAGTGGTAAAAACAAGTCCGGGAATATCCTCAGGTATGCCATCTTTTATTCTGTGGGGGCCATAAGGAGAATCAATGGGCAATTCAAAGTTGTACTTGCGCAGCAAGTTGGCCAAAACCGTGTATAGCTCAATCCATGCCAAATGCCGGCCAATACACACGCGCACTCCAGTGCTGAAGGCTAGTAGGTCCCTTGATCTTGCTCTCCCTTTGGCGCCCATGAATCGCTCGGGATCAAAAACATTGGGATTGGGCCATACCGTAGGGTCTCGGTGGCTGGCAGCAAAGGAAAGGCATATTTCTGTTGTTGACGGAATCTGATACTGGCCGCAGAGCATAGCACCCTCAGTAGGCACGCTGCGCGGGAAAAGACCAGATGCGGCGGGGTTCAAACGCATGGATTCAAGAATAACAGCCGTGAGATAGGGTAAATATGTTTTAGCCTCATCGTATCGGATTGGTCTTGTCGTGTCTGGAAAAGTAAATCGGATGTTCT